AAAAAAAAAAAAAAAGATTACAATTAACCATTTAATTGTAGTTTATTTTATTTTTACCATACTCGGAGACCGTAGGCATTTTATACAATAGTTGTACCCAGCTGATGAAATCAGACTGAAGGCTTATTCTTATCAACACTTCTTGTAAATACTCTTGCTCAATATGATCAAAAGCTTTCTCTCTATCCATCGACACAATTCCTCCTGGAGTTTGACGAGAACTGATATAGTGAATTGTATTAGTGAAGTCATGTATTAAAGAAGTATGGCCGTTTATAAAACCCGTCTGATCATCATCAACAATGTCGGTCATTACCCGTTCTAATCAGCTGGCTGCAATTATTTTATATCAACTCCAAGTAAGCTGATTGGCTGATAGAAGCAGCATTGTTAGGGTCCTTATTCTTTTTAGGAATAACTATTATGTGCAACATACGTAGATTAGGGAAGTGATCCCTCTTGAAAAGATTTTGTGAAAATACGAAGTAGTAATTTGTTAATTTTATCTTATAGAGTTTTATAAAACTACACAGAATCCGTCCGGCAGCACCTGGGGATTCATCTGACTGCAGCGAGGAGACTGGTTTATTTATTTCTGTTAAAGTAACGGGTTCTTCGAGCAGTTTGGCTCATTCATTTGTTAACTGTCTTATCTCTATTCAAGAAGTGACCCTGAGTGAGTTTCAGTATCCGTTTCTGAACTAATAATAAAAGGAAGTAATAATATTAAAATTATTTATCTGTTGCAGGTGATCCTCACCACATATCACTAACTTAAGAGATTTACTGGGAAAGTTTGTCAGTCGAGCCAACAGCTTATTTGGTTTATTGCCGGATTCAAACAGCCTTTGTCTGGCAAATAAAAGATCAGATTTGGCTTTCCTTATAATTAAGTTAGTTAATCTTAATCTGGCTTCTTTCAGCTCTTTCAAAACATCATCCAATTCTGATCTATAGAAATCTTTCTCTAGTTTTTTTTTTTTTTTAACCCTGTTTTCAACCTCAAGTTGTTCTTGTAGAAGTTCTTTCTTTTTCCAACTCAAGTATGAAACAATCATTCCTCACATGTAGACTTTGTATGCTTCCCGTATCTTGGATCTTGGATCAATATCATTGTTATCAATACATTCAACAGTGATGAGTTCAGTCTCTAATGTAACATCTGCTCTGCAGGCCTCAAAGGCTGCATTGTCAGAGTAACGGGCGTGGTCAGAAAGAGCAATAGAGCTAATATCAGATTGCTCTACTAAATGAGCAAGATGGTTAGAAAAGAATGTTTAGTCAATATGTGATGATGACCGATGAGGGTGAGAATAAATCGTGTAACCTTTAGTATTCATGTATTTCCAGCTGTCCTCTAGGAGTATGCGGTACCAGGCCCTTTGATACAGACTGTTAGGTCCCTGTATGACCGGTGTCAGAGCCTGGTCCACATTGCCGGCAGTAAGTCGGGCTTGTTCCCGATGAGAGTTAGACTCCGCCAAGGTTGCCCTCTGTCACCGATTCTGTTCATAACTTTTATGGACAGAATTTCTAGGCTCAGCCAAGGTGTTGAGGGGATCCGTTTTGGTGGCCTTAGGATTGAGTCTTTTTGCAGATGATGTGGTCCTGTTGGCTTCATCAGATCGTGATCTACAGCTTTCGCTGGAGCGGTTCACAGTCGAGTGTGGCACGGCCGGGATGAAGATCAGTTCCTCCAAATCTGAGGCCATGGTCTTGAGCTGGAAAAGGGTAGAGTGCCCTCTCCGGGTCAGGGAGGAGGTCCTGCCCCAAGTGGAGGAGTTCAAGTACCTTGGGGTCTTGTTCACGAATGAGGGAAAAATGGAACGTGAGGTCGATAGGCGGATAGGTGAAGCGTCTGCAGTGAAGCGGGCGCTGTACAGGTCTGTCGTGGTGAAGAGAGAGCTGAGTCAAAAGGCGAAGCTCTCAATTTACCGAGCGATCTACGTTCCTACCCTCATCTATGGTCATGAGCTTTGGGTTGTGACTGAAAGAACGAGATCTTGGATACAAGAAGCCGAAATGAGTTTTCTCCGCAGGGTGTCTGGGCTCTCCCTTAGAGATGGGGTGAGAAGCTTGACCATCTGGGAGAGACTCAGAGTAGAGCCGCTGCTTCTCCATGTTGAGAGGATCCAGTTGAGGTGGCTCAGGCATCTGTTTAGGATGCCTTCTGGACGCCTCCCTGGTGAGGTGTTCCAGACACGTCCCACCGGGAGGAGACCCAGAGAAAGACCCAGGACACGCTGGAGGGACTATGTTTCTTTGCTGGCCTGGGAACGCCTCGGGATTCCCCCGGAGGAGCTGGACCAAGTGGCTGGGGAGAGGGAAGTCTGGGCCTCCCTACTTAAGCTGCGACCCGACCCCGGATAAGCGGAAGAAAATGGATGGATGGTTATTATGGGGCAGGTTCCTGTTTATGGGGAAGAGACTGCAGTTAAAATCATCTATTGACCTATTTTGAAAGTCCATAGCTACAATTTTACCAAGTAAGGAGGAAAAAAAATATTTGTCATGGGCACTGGGTTCATAAATATTCCATAGCAAAACTATTTCTCCATTTATTTTTTCTTTTACTAATACAACTCTACCTTTTTTATCCTTGTAACAATCTTTCTCATTAAACAGCAGTGTTTTATGTTCATAAATGATCACCCCCTTTTTTCTTGGTAGAGTGTGATGAGAAGAAAACTTGGCCAACCCATTCTCTAAGATACTCTGTTCTCATTGTTTAAAAGTGTTTCTTAGAGAAATGCAATCTGCACTTTATCCCTTTTTTATACAATTTAATAAAGCTTTTTCTTTATGACATTATTATTAAAGCCCTTTCTATTTCATGTACCAAGCTTGATATTCATCCATAATTATGTGGAATTAGTGTATGCTGTATCTAAATGTGACCCCATACAGCAGTCTGGATCTAATATTTACCACCAAGCTCGGCTGTATAAATGAGAAAAATGAAAATGGTCCAAGCAGAAAAGGAACCTAAAGTTTTGGTTCCTGAACAAACCCACCATAAAAAGAAAAGCGAAAGTAAAATAAAACAAATCCTGTCATAATCTAACTAAGCTATGCGTCTTACAGAGGGCAAAAATACCAAACATTTTTGAGCAGTCCCCCATCGGCATCCTGGCAGAACAATCGCTGCCACCTTAAACAAAACGCACTATAAATCAAAATCTGCTTCTTTTTTTTTTGTTCTTCAATAATTCCCAAATAAACCAAAAAAAAAAGAAATTTCTAATAATATGATTTGGTTATTAAGCCTTCATTTAGATAAAGCAGCTGCCTTTAAGGTTGTGATCATTGTTAACCTCAATACTATTTTTTTAATCATTTACTACGTGTGTGTGTGTGTGTGTATATATATATATATATTTATTTATTTATTTTGTTTGTTGTTTTTTTTCTGGAAAATGTTGCTCTGAGCAAGAATCTTTTGCTGCTGCACTAACAACTATTTAGATTATTTACTGCTCTGTCTGTACGTGACCACATTTCTTCCTGCTTTATATGGTGAACAGGCAGAAGACAGTCATGCCGTTGCTAAGCGACAGCTGGAGGCGGAGACTCTGATGCGTGTGGACTTGGAGAATCGCTGTCAGTCACTTTCCGAAGAGCTGGAGTTCAGGAAGAGCATGTTTGAAGAGGTAAATGGCACAAACCTCATTTTAGGAGCGCATTATCATTTACCAGAGATCATAAGATGATGGGAGTTTAAACTCTTGTTTATTCAAGCTATGATGTTTTTTCTTTAATAACGATTGCCTGCTGCTTCAGCGTGAAGAGTATGAAACCAGAGACCAAAGATGAAAACTCATCCACCTTTGAACTTAAGCTGTATCTTTATAATCCTGTTAAAATTTTCTCTCCCCCCCCCCCCCCCCAGGAGATGCGTGAATCTCGGCACCCACGGGAACAAAGAATTGTTGA